AATTTTTTAACACATACATAATGTACGTGACATGAAATCAAAAAAAAACACACACACACATTATGAATTTATGTTTAAGCAATTTATGTTTAATTTTTTTACCGAAACATTTCGAATTGATGGTGCTAATAATTGTATTGCTTGAAATAATTTGCAGATATCTTTTGGTGTCCATCTTTCGTGGACAATAAACATGGCGCTATGAGTATCCAAGCTTAGCAATATTTGCGCACTACGATGGCGATAAAAATTACCTAAGTGAGATATTTTTTTTTTAAGTTCAATCAATAAATTAAAAGGATTTCACTAAATGTGATTTCGTTTTTTTTCTTTTAAACAGATTATGGATAATTTTTAAAATTTAGCATTAAATGATTAAAACAGAAGAAATAGGAATAGATAATAAAATTTCATAAATTAAAAAAAAATGTAATTAAAATTCCTAAATAAGTTTAATCATTTATTATTTCGTTATCGGCATGAAATTAAAAGTAATAAATGAAAGTTCTTTTCTTCGACAATTCTTATCTTTAATTTAATAAGCAAACTAAGTTAGAATTTAATTAAACTAAAAAATTGATTTCATTTCAAAATACAACCAACCATCAGTATTACTTTCTTGGCCTAATACTGAAGCAATATTTCTTCGATCAGCATATAAATAAAGAATATTATTGAAACGGCAATCAATTAAACGTTTAAAATTTTTGCTTACACGACGCCATGAATATAAGTCAAATGGTGAACATTCATGGAATATAATATTCCTAAAAATTTTATTTTATTTTTTTGCTTCAAAAAATTGGATGAATTTTAATAATAAATACAAAAGAAGAAATGATAAAATTAAGAGATTGTAATTTTGTTTTACAGAAAAAAAAAGAAAACGATTTATTGATTCAGTCAATCAATAATTTGTATTCTAAAAAACAGAAAGATATTAAATGAATAAATACCATATTTCATCTGTAAATCGAGAAGAACTTTCAGAATAAATTGGTGCTGATTTTTTCTTTTTTAACGATAAAATTAATGTTTCACCACCAATTCGTCGTTGCAATCGATGAACGTTACTTTCGAAGAATTCTTTCAATGATGGCATCTGCAAATTCAAAATAAAATAAAATATGACTTTTTTAAAATAAATCCACAATTTATTACCATCGAGAATTTTGTTTGAAATAAGAAAAGCGAATAGAAAAGAAAAAAGGGAGGAAAGAAAGAGGAAGAGAGAAAAGTGAAATGAGTATTTGCTTTCATATACTTAATTAAAAATTACACTTTCACTTATTTATGACCGATACAGTATACATTTTTCATTTAACAAAACCAAAATCAAATAATTCCAAATTTTTTTTAAAGAAAAGGAGTGCTATTAAAATTAATGAAATTTAAATGCTTTTTATCACTCAGTTACGGTCGATGTGCTAATGCATCTTTCGAATTAATAATTGAAATGTTGCAACTTCAAATGTTATTATCAATCGGTGAGAGTGAAATAGAAGGAGGAAAGCGAAAAAAAAATTAAATTTCAAAATAACAAATGTTTGCTGTCAAGAATAGATCTTTTAATTTATGGAAAATAAATGAGGAAAACACTCGAAGAAGGACTAATAAAATAAGAGAAGAAGGGTAAAGAAAGGATTAAAGAAGGAAGAGGAAGGAAAATTTTAGTTTTGGTGATAGTAACAATATGATAATAATGATAATACATTATATATTTCTTTTTCAACTATTAAATCTTTTAAACAAATTTCTCAATAACAAAATGTTAAAAAAAAACGCCTTTTATCGTTAATAATATATAATAGCTACTATTGCTTTTAAAACCTGTATTAGCAGTTTATAATAGCCATTATTGATGTAGCATTTTGCTGCACAATTGTATTAGTAATTGTTATTTTTGATAGTTCTGCAGTAGTAATCGAGTAATCAAATACTCAAATAGTCAAATAATAATCAAATACTAGTTATTAGTTGCTATGGCGGTTGGTAATAATTATTGTGATTATAGCGACAAATTGTATGTATTGCCACTTAAAGAAATTAATTCGATAAATATTAGCATTATGAATTTTAAATCATAAATTAAAATTTTTTTTTAATTCAGCTTAGATAAAAGAAACCATTTTTCGTCCTTATTGCTTTCGTTGTGTGTATTTGCTTTAATTAAATTGAAATTTAATGAAATTTGAGAATGTCAATCAATAAAAGAAATAAGTTATTATTGAATAGAAATGATTGATTAGATAGGATAGTTAAAAATTAAATTAAAAAAATACTTTAAAAAACTGAGATATTTAAAAAAAATACAGCTTCACTAGCAGTAGAAGCAACAATAATTGATCATTTAGCATTTACACATTTAGTTTCATGGGGAATAAAATTTAAGTGGGAATATTGAGTAGTTTAAAAGCATCAAAAATAATTTTAAGTAGTTTAAAAGCATCAAAAATAATTTTAAATAAATTAGAAAATGCATGAATATAGGAAATCTTCTCATTCTTTCCCACATATTTAATAATTAATCATAGCTTTATATGTTTAATTTATTTATTCATTTTCATGCATCTTTTAATTAACGATCAGTTTATTTGAATTTAAATTACGCATTATTTATTCATTTTCACCTATGAATTTTTGCAATTTCTCCATATATTTATCAATTTTTCGTTCACTTTTTTTTTCAATTATTATACTTATTATTGAACACGATATTTCTGCTCGTTTTCTTATTTTCTTATTAACATTAATCACAAAGTTACCTGCCTCATTAACACTGATCGTACTTACTTTATTAATATTGATCTTAACAGAACTATCTCTTTAACCTATTCATTAATCTACGCTTAATAACCAAAGTAGTAAATATACAATTTCTTATATGATTACAGTATCGATCATTAAGCATCAAATGATCATTAAAAATTAAAATAATTCTATAAAACTTTTTCCATATGAATATTATTACACGCTACTTTTTTCGCTATTTATTTATGAGAATAATTTTTTATTGGGAAATTTTTTGAACAAATAAAATTGTATACTTTCATTTCCACCAATTTTTTTTTCTCATAAATTTAGCTAATTTTACTTGGCTATTCATGAACATTCAATTTAATAAAAATATTTCTAACAAATAAAACAAAAAAAGTAGTTTCAACAAATTATTTTAATTCTGAAATCAAACAACAACAGAAATGAGTTATACTTATACTTACTAATGAAGTTCGAATAAATTTGACTGAACAAAACAAGAGAACTGAACATTCTTAGTTAAATAAGTATTGCGTCATTTGTGATCGTTTGACGTAATGTACCTGTGTGGGAGAAAATTTCAACGTACGAATTACGCACATATATGAATCTTTGATATTTATTACAATTTAACTTAAATTTTACTCGAACTTCGATTTTTCTTTCATGTTCCTGTTTTAATAGTGGGAAAAAAAAATGATCGAAAAAATAAAAATGTTCCTTTTTTTTTTCATAACGTACTTTTACTTTTTTTTTCTGCTTTTAAACAAATATAAGACATGCATTCATCATTACTGCCTCTTTCAAATAAAATAATCATATTTCGAAATTGAACAAAAATCTTTTTCCTTCCTTTTTCATATCTAAAAATGATGAAATAAAAGTACAGAAAAAAATACATTGGTAAATATATATTAATAAATGAATGAATATGAATAAGATTCAATTTTCTATTCATTTAATGTCATATTTTCATTTGACAACAACAACAACAACAACAACAACAAACTCTTTGAGAGGATGTATTAACATTAGCTTTGGCTTTGGCTAAGCTTGCCAAGTGAAGAAAGAAGCATTTAGGTTAATGCTTTTAATTATAGCCATGTTTTTGAAGCCATTAACACCAAGTGCATTCTAGCTGCCTCATTAAATGATCCTATCTCTTATCGATATCATCCAATTCTCCTCAATTTCAACGAATAATAGTTGAAATGTGAAATTCGATATAATAAAGATAAAAAGTTACTAAAACAATTATGCAAGTAATGATTAATATAATTAATAATGTTTTGGATAATTTGTAAATGTCATATAACATATTATTAAAAATTACTGCCACTGATTACTGATACTGTTACAATAGTAGTGATAATAATAATGATAATAATAATAATAAATAAATAATAACAATTAATAACTATTACCATAATAATCATCACAATATGGCTAATAATAGATTGTAAAAATTTTCTACGAAATTGATAGAATCCATGTAAAATAAAGGCAACTATTGTCTAATATGTAATAATAAAAATGATAATATTAATATAAGTGATAACCGCGGATGATCGATGATCGTTTAGGGAATAAATTCTTGTGTGACAATCAGAGTAAATTCTTGCGATGACAATTTAATGGTCAAACATCATTAATAACCATTTATATCACTAAATCTTTCTGACCTGTTGATCGATTAATCAATAAATTCTTTTAATATTTTATTTGTTTCAATGTTCACATTTCTATACCGATAGACAATCATGTCAATTTTTATGATTAAAATTAATATGAAAGAAATTTTTGCAATAAAAATTGCCTCAGCAATTAAAATAAATTGCTGTCTGGATAGCTAACTAAAAAAAAATGAATTTAAGGAATGTTGAAGCTAAAAAAGAAAGTATTTCATTTGGTTTCGATTTATTCACTATTTAAATTATTCATTCCATATCAGAAAAATAAAAATCATTATGGTACTGTTTAAAATTGTCTTAAATAAACGTCATTAAATTTTCATTTTTTCCTTTATTTGCTATTGCTAATAAAAAAGTAAAAATTTCCCTATTGTTAAAAATCAAAATTAATTTCTAACTGAGTTCCAACTGATGCTTACACTTAGCAAATAATTATACATTCCTTTAAATTATACATTCCTAAATGATACCTAATTATTAATATTTTGTAATTAATAAAACCAACGGTGAAACAATAATAATCGTTGCTTATAAGATTCACACATTATCACTCATTTCTTCTTATTTCATTTTATCAATCATTAATGAATAAATTTATTTATGCATTTTTTTTAGTTAATGATCTTTGATAGTATTAATAAATTATTATAAAATATATGAAATATGCTGATATCACAAAATGCAAGGAAAGAGGTTTGCCATTAAAAATTATATCATTTATTTGATTCATTTGATATCAATTAATTACTTAACGGACAAATGTAGTATATGACGATTAATTTCGAAAATTTTAAAAAAATATAGAAAGTTTCGATGTCAACATATGTAATATAAAATAATTTTTGAAGACAAATAACTATGATGATAATATAAATACAAAAAATTTTCATATCAATTAATAAATTCATTTACCAATAATTGTTACAACAAGAAATTCCTTTTGGCAATTTTGAAGTAAAAATTTTAAAAACAATAAACAAAAAACAGTCTCAATGATCATTGTAATATAAAATATATGTTGTAATTTATAAGCAAAAATTTTAAAAATAATAGGAAAATA